TAGCTCAGCTGGTACAATGATTGCCTAGCAAGTATGAAAGATTTCACTCCCAGGACCACATGAACTAGGTGTGGTGGCACACATCCATAATCTCAGGACTGGGGAGAAAGAAGCAGGGGGATTTTAGCAAGTCCAGCCTAGTCTCTATGGTGAATTTCTAAGTCAGTCAGGGCTACAGAGTCAAACGTTTAAAACAAAACAAAACCAAAGACATAGGAAGCTACTTATCCATGGATGGGACAATTGTTTCAAACTACACAGAGAGCAGAATCAGGGCCGTGCAGGTATAGAGACTCGCTCAGTCCAGCCCCCTGGATTTGCAGGGCTTTTCTGGTTGAAACAGATGAGACATCAACACACCTCATTCTGGGCGTGCAGCTGCTGAGCCAGCCCAAAAGGCCTCCCAGCCGGCCCTGTCTCCGCTCTAATGCACCGTTAGACGCCTGACTACACCCGGGGGAGCCGTAATGGACTCCACATCCCAGCCTCAGCTAAACTAATGGATTCCTAATGGAGGAGACAGTGCCATTACCAAAAGGAGCGGGGAGGGCGGAGGAGGGCAGAAAGGAAGATTGATCAGTTTCTCTAGGAGACGAGCCAGATTCAGCCCATATTTGGGTTTGGGGTGGGGAGGGGTCTCAGGTAGCTGGGCTGGTCTCATTTTCACTACATAGCTGAGGCTGACCTTGAACTTCTGATCCTCCTGCCTCTACCGCCCAAATGCTGGGATTTCAAGTATATGTCACTATGCCCAGCACCAATTCTTGGCTCTTAAAACCCCAACGAATTCTTTCTCTGGTATTCTGGGCTTGTTGTGTCTATTGAAGCCTGGGTCCATCTGTCCAATTGGGTCTGCCTGTCCGATTGGGTCCATCTGTCTGGTTGAGTACCTCATTCCCCAGCTTCAGTTATTTGGTTGAGAAACTTCTTACTTTTCTCCTGGCTTTAACAAAATAGATGCAAAAGCCAGTTATGGAAGGAAGGGTTTGTTCTGACTTACAGTTCTGGGCAAGACTCCATCACTGTGGGTCTGAAGCTGCTGATCACAAACTTCAAATTCATCCTACAGCGTGGGTTGATGGGCAACCCAGCAAAAGGAGTTTTGGATGGCATTTGCATATACGATATGCACTGTGTTTGAGAACATTTCATTGTAGATGTGAGGGAGAAACCAGCCAGAGACATCTGGAAGAGTCAAGGAGAGAGAGAAGTAGGGGCATCGAGAGAGAGAGAGAGAGAGAGAGAGAGAGAGAGAGAGAGAGAGAGAGAGAGACAGAGACAGAGAGAGAGAGACAGAGAGAGATTGAGGTGGGAGGGGAAGCAGACCACGAGAGATCCAGGAGCCGAGCCAAACAGGAACCAAGAGGCCAAGAGACTATGTAGCCACCATGGCTGACTTTCTGTAGGGAAGAGAATGTGGGGGAAGGGAAGGGAAGGCCAGCCTCTGGGAGGGAGAGGTTCAGAATAGTGGGGTGAGAAGCACCTGGAAGAAGCCCCAGGTACCCAGTGAGACTTGACCCAGGTTTCTGTAAGACCTAACACTAACTGACTATGACCTAAATAAGCCATCAACTGTCCGTTTTTCCTCAGTTCTGGGTAGGGGCTTCTGTACCTCTCCCCATTTTATGCTTAAATGATTTGTGCGGCTACCATAGCTGCTGTGATATGAGTGCCTGGATAGGAGACGCTCCTCCCTGGCTCTGACTCTCAGGATCTTTCTGCCTCTTCCACAATGGTCCCCGACCTTTGGGAAGGGATGGAGATGATACAGAGGCCCCATTTATGACTGATCACTCTGATGCTTGTTCTCTGTACGTTGACCAGTTGTTTTGGCATTTAACCACCCTCCATTGCACAAAGACATTGTTCTAGGATGAGAGGGAGACTTAGAAGGCAGTTTGAGATTATGTCCGTTTACCAGAATGATAGATTTACCTCTGGGGCCAGAGAACTCAACCAGGCATGTGTTTCTTACAGTACGGAAGGAAGGCTGTAAATCTAAGTAGTGATTGGTTACCTCCACAGGATTTATGCCACAATTGCACCCATGGCGTATCTTACCTTGCTGGGGCAGCATTATTGTTATTCAGCAGATTCATGGCTGGGTAAGCTGGGATAACTTTTCCTCCCCAGTAGGCTATGCAGAACATTCCAGTGCTACGAAAGCTAGCCCAACAGAGAGGAAACTTCTAGCCAGTATAAGATTTCTCTGTGGTCTGTGAATTTTTTTTTAAAGATTTGTTTTATTTTCATTTATGCGTGTGAGTGTGTGTGAGTGCGTGTGAGTGCATGTGAGTGCGTGTGAGTGCGTGTGAGTGCACGGGCCTGCAGAGCCAGAAGAGGGTGCTGGGAAAAGCTGGAGTTTCAGGTAGCTGTAAGGCTCCTGATGTGGGTGCTGGAACCTGAGCTCAGGTCCTCTGCAGGAGCAGTGCGTGCTTGGAATTGATGAGCCACATCTCTGGGGCCTCTTACTTGTTTTTCAATTATTCAGTGTTGAGGTTTGGTCTTACTGTGTATTGTAATGCTACGTGAGGGTCCCCAAGACTTGGAGTCCACATGTATACCCAAGTGACACTATGTGACCTTGTCCTCAATTGGTAAACAAAGATGCTGACAACCAATAGCTGGACAGAAGAGACATAGGTGGGGTTGAGAATTCCCAGGCTTGGGGTTGGAGGAGAACCACGAGGAGGAGGAGAAGGCAGAGGAGGAGAGAGAAGCCACCGTGGGTTAGGAGTCAGGAAATGTGGCCCTGAGGACTGGCCAATTGGAGTTAAGAGCAGCCCAGATGAAACACAGTAATAACTTGGGGTTATGGTTAGGAAAGTAGATTCTAACAGCATAGAGGGTAGATATCTGTCCAGCTATTATGCTGATTAAGGCTTATTGTAAATATAAAGGGTGTGTGTGTGGTTTATTGGGGAATTAAATGGTCAAAGATGGGGTAGAAACCCCAGATTGTGATAAAAATGTTCTATAACAGTTCAGTTGTCAAGTTAGGATCATGTATCTTGGCCTCAGACTCCGTGTGCAGCTGAGGTTGGCTTTGAACGTTTTTCTATTTAAGTTTACTTAGTTATTCATATGGTTGTTTTGCTTGTGTGATCTGTGTATGTTTGCCATGCGCATGCCTGGGGCCTGCAGAGACCAGATGCCCTGGAACTGGAGTTACAGATGATTGTGAGCTGCCATGTGGCTGCTGAGAGGGCCTCTCCAAAACTAAGCACTCTTAATCGCTAAGCCATCTCTCCAGCCCCCATGGCCTTCAACTCTTGATCCTCCTGCCTCTACTTCCCTAGGTGCACCAGTCACCAGTCACCGTGTCCGAGGTATTCAATTTTGAGGATAGAAGAGGGCTTCTGGCATGCTGGGCCAAGCAATCTACCAATATAGCCATATCCTCAGACATATTTCTTTGGTTTGGTTTGGGTTTGGGTGTTTGACACTGGGTCTAGGATGGCCCAGACAGGCCTTAAATTGGTGGTGTGACCTTGAACTCCCAATCCTTCTGCTTCCACCTCCCGTAGCTTCTCTGTTTACAGTTTTTCTTTTCCTATTCTGTCTCTTCTGGATCAATTCCAAAGTGTATGCAAATTCTTACATCAATACCTGTTTCCAGAGAAACTCAAATACCTCAATCCTTGGCCAGTAAGCACTCCCTTAAGGCCTAGTGAGAATAGCCACGATTCATTGCTGGGAAAGGAAACTGAAGAAAACACAAACAGAAAGATGCCTCATGCTCATGGGTTCAAGGGACTGATGCCATTAAACTGTTCGCACTCTGTGTTTTGCTGGGGTTTTTGTTTGTCTTGTTTTGCTTTTGGCCGTGGTTGTGCTCACATAATTCCATGTGAGCAGGGTGGCCTGCCTAGGATTCCAGGCACAGGAGGTGTATACAGGGGAGCCCCAGAGCAAGCCAAACTGATAAACTCTGGATTTGATTGAGAGATCCCGTGTGTATGTTTTATGCATGCATATGTGTGGGTATTTGTACCTCGATGTGCACATCTGGAGGACAAAAATGTGTCTCCTTATTTCAGTCTGAAAATCATTATCATCTATTACTAATATTACTATTATTATTATTATTATTATTATTTTGAAACAGAGTCTCATTTTGTAGTCCTCAAACTCAAAGAGATCTGCCTGTCTCTGTCTTCTGGGGGCACACGTGGAGGTCAGAGGGCAACTTTCAGGAGCCAGGTACCTTTCCACCATGTTGTAGTGAGAATTTTGGTTTCTTTAAAAACCCAGTTATGTTATGTGAATATGTTTTTGTTTTAATCCTAGGTGTGGGAAATGGGGCTGCTTCAGATTGTCCACAGCAGCTGACTATGATTTGTCTCATGCTCTCTCAGGGGTGTGATTCTGCCAGCTGAAGATAATTTACGTCTGGAATTCTGAGTGACTCTTGAGAAGGTATATAAATGCCAGAGCCCTGAGAAGTTGTGCCTCTGCCTCCCTGCCTCCCTGCCTCCCTGCCTCCCTGCCTCCCTGCCTCCCTGCCCCTGCAGGTTCCTCCTGCTGCTTTTTCTGTTTGCTATTTGGTTTCCTAGACTGCTCGTTAGAGATATCCTGACAATGAAGGTTGGACCTCCTCCTCCCTCAGGTACTCATCACCCCTAATCATCAGGAAGTAGTCTAAAGAGGCCTGTGCCTCCTTTCCCTTCTAACCTTCTTTCTCACTTACCTGTTGTTGGGGGGTTGGAAGGGATTGGGATGGAGAAGTGTGGTAGATATAAGAACCCAATAAAGTAGCCAAAATCTGGTTATACCATGTGACTCCCAGGGAGGGGTCATCTTGGTGGCCAGCGCCATTGCCCACTGAGCCTTCTTGCTAGACCTAGTGAAATCAAATCTTTATTTAAAAATCTGCAGTAAACAACCATGCTCTCCTTCCAGTAGGGCTGTGAACTCTCTAAAGGAGTTCATCAGGTTCCATGAGGGCAAAGGAGCCGAGAGCAGCATTTACCGGTCCTTGAGCTGAAAATTCAGCAGGGTCACGAATGCTTCTTGGTATTCAACAAAGAGATATACCTCCGCACCCGCTTGGCCTCTGGCTGGTCACAGAATTGCTTATCTGTTTTTGTAGTGAATCTGTAGAAAAGAGATATGAAGTGAATTTTGACATCTATGGCTTATGGACCTTATGAAAGAGGAGGGTGGGTAGACTTCTGACTAGGGTTGTCCCTTGTCCAAGACAACAGCCACACCCCAGTCCTGTCACATCTCCTGCTAAGCTGCTTCTCCTTTCCATCTCCCTCAGAATCCACACACCCTCAAGCCCACATTCCTCAGGAATCATGTCTCAGAAGGTCTAGTTGCCAGGCAGTAATCTATATTGTGATGCTTTTGTTTCAGTATAAGAGCTTTATTGAGACATAATTTACCCACTCTATGAAGCACATATTGGACATGACTAGGATAATGATGATATAGCTCAGCAGTAGAGCCTAGAATCCCCCAGTGAGGGGCTTGGGCGTGGCTCAGTGGTAGAGCCCCTGCCTAGAATCACCCAGTGAGGGGCTGGGGGCGTGGCTCAGTGGTAGAGCTCCTGCCTAGAATCCCCCAGTGAGGGGCTGGGGGCGTGGCTCAGTGGTAGAGCCCCTGCCTAGAATCCGCCAGGGAGGGGCTGGGGGCGTGGCTCAGTGGTAGAGCCCCTGCCTAGAATCTCCCAGTGAGGGGCTGGGGGTGTGCCTCCGTGGTAATACATTTGCCTAACATGTAGAAAGCTCTAGGTTCAATCCCTAATTAGGCAAATAGAAAAATAAACTTTAAATGTGAATACTTGGTTAGTAGACTTCAGTGTATCTATAGATTAGAGGACTGTTGCCCACGCCATTTTAATCTTTTACATGTGTGTATGCTAAGAGTATAACCCAGGGCTTCATATTGCTTAATAAATGCTTTACCACTGAATTACACAACACCTCTGCACAATGAATTTTAGAAGACAGAAAGAGCCTCACAGTATCTACTATGTCACGTAGTTCTCTTTTTATACATTTAGATTGTGTATTATTTATTTATTGTAGCAGAAGGGAAACAGACTTACTATAGTGCATATATGGAGGTCTGAGGAAAGTTTGCAGGGACTCAGCTTTCTCTTTCCATCATGTGGAACCAGGAGATCAAACTCCAGTGATTAGGCTTGGAGCAAGGTACTTTCTTTCTTTCTTTCTTTCTTTTTTTAAGGTACTTTCATCTACTGAGCCATCTCACTAAACTCACAATTCCACCACACTCCTCTTTTTTAAAAAGAAGATCTTACCATGTAGCCATGTCAAGTGTCAAACTCATGATCCTTCACCCCAGCTTACCGACTACAGGGATTATAAGTTTGTACCAACATATTCAGCTCTTGGTATTATTATCATCATCATTATTGTTATTATTATAGTTATTAATTATTCTTAGGTTTATCAAGACAGGGTTTCTCGTTGTACCAATGGCTGTCATGGAACTAGGTTAGTAGACTGGCCTCAAACTCAGAGATTTGCCTGCATCTGCCTCCCAAGTGCTGGGATTAAAGGTGTGCGCCACCACCACTTGGCTGTGCTCTTGACTTTTATACCCAGCTCTTAAAGCAGGGCCTGCTGTATGGTGTGAAAGTCAGACCCTAGCTCAAAGGCATATGTATTTGTGTAGAGGCTGGGCTCTAACCTAGTTTGGTGGTTGCTTTTAATTGCAAACTTAAAAATCTAAAATCATACGGGAAGGAAGTCTTGATAAAGATTATCTAGATTCAGGTGCCCTGTGGACATGTCTGTGGGGGCTATTTTGAGTATATTAACTGAAGTGGAAAGACTTGCCACTATGGGCGGCATCATTCTTTAGGCAGGGGGCTCTGAACTATCTAGGAGTGGAGAAATCAAGCTGAGCTGTATTGCAATGACTCAGTTCATTGTTCTGTGGTCTTGACTGTGAATATAACATGACTAGCTGCTTCAAGATCTTCCTACCTTGACCTCCCACAGCAATGATGGACTGTGTCTTTATCTTAGCTGTCAACATAGACAGCTGGGGTCATCTAAAAAAATAACCCTCAAAAAATTGCCTCAATAAGATAGGCCTGTGACCATGTCTGTGAAGACACGTCTTCATTGATGGTTGAAGTGGGAGGGCCCAGCCAACTATAGGCGACATCAATCCTAGACATGAACTATATAAGAAAGCTAGCAGAGACCATAAACCACAGGAGGAAGCCCAGTAAGCAGCATCCTTTGCAAACAGCATCCTTTCATGTTCTCTTCCTCTACTCTTGCCTTGAGATCTGACTTCCCTCAGTGATGGAGTATTACTCAAAATAAACCTTCTCCCTCCACCACCCCCCAAGTTGCTTTTGGTCATAGTATTTACCTTAGTAACAGGAAGCAAACTAGAACATACTATAACCTGGAATTTCTCCCGTATGTTACTTTCATCAAGGTATTTTATCCCAGAGACCAGAAGCAAAACAGATACCCTCTTCCCAGATTCCCATCTCGAGGTCCAGTCTGTCATTGAGGGCATCTACTCAGTCCCTTGCTTAATGATGTGGCCGATGTAGCAGGACCCAGAAGCACTCGCATCACACCCTCATTGGTGCAGCTGCTTTCGGTGAACATATAGCTGTACAGCCAGTGTCACGGGAACACGCAGTGGCTGAAATAGGGGCAGCAGAGCATACGGACGTCGCTCCCACCTAGACAGGCAAAGGAGGAGGAGCTTCGGGGAGGGGGAGGAGCTTCAGGGGAGGGCAGGAGCTTCAGGGGAGGGGGAGGAGGATCAGCTACATATATGTGGCAACACCAAGCTGGACACTGAGGAAGACAGCCGGGAGAACAATGAAACCCAAAGAGAAGGTCTTCATGGTCCATTGACCTGGGCCCTTTACAGATGGCTCCTCAGTTATTCCTGGCTTGTCTTCTCTGAGTTTGTGCAGTACCTGAAGAACATTCCAGAGAAATTTACAGTGGAAAACAAAGTAACTTTGCATGTGTGTGCGTGCGTGAGTGTGTGTGTATGTGTGTGTGTGTTGTGCATGTACATGACTCTGTGGGTACATGCATGAGGACATGAATAAGTAGAGGTCAGAGGAGGACATGACAAGCTTCCCAAGTGCTGGGATTAAAGGTGTGTGCCACCATCACCTGGCTCACGTCCTATATTTTATGGGTGGCTTCTGTATCGCTTTCCTTGTCGTAACAAAATAGCTGACAAAGGCAATTTACAGAGAGGGAACTATCTTGGCTCATGGTTTGAGGGCACAGTCCATGATAAGAAATCCACAGCAACAAAAGTATGAGGAGCTGGGTGGTGGTGGCGCATGCCTTTAATCCCAGCACTTGGGAGGCAGAGGCAGGCGGATTTCTGAGTTCGAGGCCAGCCTGGTCTACAGAGTGAGTTCCAGGACAGCCAGGGCTATACAGAGAAACCTTGTCTCGAAAAACCAAAAAGACAAAAACAAAAACAAAACAAAAAAAACAAAACAAAAAACAAACAAACAAAAAGCGTATGAGGCAGCTGGGCTGGTGTCACTGCATCCAGTCAGGAAGAGAAAGAAATGGACTGATGATCAGTTTGTGCTTTATTATTGAGCCACACTAACCAGCCCCTTATTGGGCAAGACAGGTACTCTACCCCTGCCCCAGTCCATCACTGGGAAATTCTAGGCAAGCATTCTACCACTAAACCATATCCCTGTGTTTGATTTGAGAAATAATTTACTTATTTATGTGTTTGTTGTTGGGGGGGTGTCAGCATGCCTGAGCATGCGTGTGGACTGAGTGCATGAGTCAGAGGACAGCTCTCAGAGTCACTTCTCTCTTCCAATCGTGTGAGTCCTGGGAGTTGAACTAGGGTCATCTGGCTTGGCTGCAGGTGCCGTTGCCTGCTGAGCCATCTCTCCAGTACAGCTTTTGAAGTTTCGAGTTAGGATCTCATTGCTTTTCAGGGTGACTTTTAAACTTCTCTGCCTCCACCTTCTGAGAACTAGGGTTACACGTGTGGCAAGGTTCCACAGTTTCACTATGGTTCTGTCTGATTGTCTTCCCTCTACAGTTAGTCACCGTTGTTTCTTTTATGAAACATCAGGATCCCTCCATGCACAGGGGTGTGTCCATAAACAGGCTTCTGCTGTGATCTACCTTCTCAGTATGCGTGCACAATGCTCTGTCCAAGACTTTCTTTCGTTCTCCTATCTTGGTGCAGGAGATCCAACCCAGAGCCTCGAGCTCCACACCCAGCCCTGAGCATATCCTTCATTTCACTCCCTCTGGGTCCTGCTCTGGTCTCAGCTACCTCCTTCTCCTATAGTTAAAGTGCCTGCTCCATACCCTCCAGGTTGCTGGCTGGGATCTGGCTATGGACGTTCCAGAACCCCCCTCCATCTGGGGTGCTTCTCAAGGTCTGGCTAGCCATTTGAACTTCTGCTACCATGGATACCCTTCTAAAACTCTTCTGTTGTCATGATCACAGGACTGGAATAGACTAGCTCATTTGTCCAGGTTCGCTTCCTCATGGCTCTCATGTTAGGCTGAAGTGTGTTCTCTTCCCCCTAAATTCACGTATTGAAACATTAACCCCTCAATGTGCCTATATTTGGAAACAAGAACTTTAAAAAGTCATTTTAGTCTTTGAGATAGGGTTTCACTGTGTAGCCTTTGCTAACCTAGAACTTACCATGTAGACCTTGCTGGTCTCAAACTCACAGAGGTCTACCTGTCTCTGCCTCCTGAGTCAGCACTCAGGATTAAAGATCCTGAGTTTTTAAATTTATTTTTACTTTTATTTTTATTTTCAAGTATGTGTGTATGCGTGCATTTGTGTAGTTGCTTGTGGAAGCCAGAAGTGGGAGTCAGGTCCCCTGGAGATAGAATTACAGGAAGTTGTAAGCTTCCTGAGATGGGTTCTAGAAACTGGACGTGAGTCCTCTGGAAAAGCAGTAGACGCTCATAACCTGCTGGTTATTCAGGCCACTTGAGAGGCAAGGAAGGCTTTCCCTGCCTTGTACTCCAGTGTGAACTTTGTATACTTTCTAAACTTTGTAAACCCTCAAGGCTGGAATGTGGTTGCTCCCCCCCCACACACACACACACACACACCAGATCCAGCAACCAAGCTCCTCCCCCAGTCTGCCCTCACTGTCCAGCTTCTGTAACTATCACAAAGGTCATCTATAGCCCCTCATGGGGGCCTCCTCAGATTATGCTAATTAGGTGAAAAAATCTGAACAAAAGGCACCAATCCTTGAACTTCCCACAGAAACCCACCAATCCCTGAACAGGAAAACCCACCAATCTCTGAGCTCCCCCAACCTCAGGACCTGAAATCCCATCAATCCTCACCCTGGAAGTCTCCACCCTAGAAAGCTCAGTCTCCCAAGAACCCCTATATAAACACTGTACTATGTCCAGTTCCCAGCAGCTGGCTGCTCCCTCCTGGGAGCACAGGGAGCCACTCCTGGATTTATTCCTCCTCTTCCCTGGGCACTCTGATAAATCTCTTTTTGGAGATTTGTTGCCTGGTATGACTCTCTCATTGGAAAAAGACAGGAAACAATGAAAAGAAGAAAGGAAGAAGCAAAGAGAAAGAGTGTGGCTGAGGCCCCTGTGTCCTCAGCTCAACTGGGGATACCTTCCCCTGGGAGCTACAACCCCTCTGCTGAGGAGGCTTCCTCTCAGAGCTGTGTGGTTCCTGAGTCTCCCTGTCTCAGGATGCCCTTCCATTGGGACACTGTCCCATCTCAGAGCTGTGTGCTTCCTGGGCTTCCAAGTCCCAGGATACCTTCCCATCTGAGCAGAAAGGCCAACATAACCATGTCTTGGTATGTCAAAAAGCAAAGACAGGAGAGGAAATGGTTCTCCACTAGGAGCTGGAAGGTCCACCCTGCACTGACCTTCTCCCTCCAGTTAAGCCCTACCCCCCAAAGGTTTCACAAACTTGACAAATCTTTCCAACCACCAGCAGCCAGGTACCCTGTATTCTAATACATGAGGAGGGGTTGGGATGGGGTGAGGTGGAATCTTTCTTTCAAGCACAGAACAGAGACAAGGGCAGCCCAGTCCATACACTTATTTTTTTTTTCAGTATGGTTTTGCTATATAACCCAGATTGGACTTCAGCCTTGTATATGTTAGGATTACAGACACATATTACTAGGTCTAGCTAAAGACAAACTTTGGGGGCTGGAGAGATGGCTCAGCAGTTAAGGGTGTTTGGAGCTCTTGTGAAGGGACCTTTTTGGCTCCTGGTAACCACATTGGGTAGCTTACAATGGCCTACACCTCTGGTTCTGGAGATTAGAAGTCCTCTTCTGGCCTCTGCGGGCACTGACCCACACATGCCTATGCTTACAGACATATACACAAAATAAAAATAACTTTAAAATGTCAAAGACAGACTTTGTTTCAAGATTTTTAATACCTCTTCAGTTCAATGAGGGAAATTGCTATTTTTGAAATTATTTTATTTTCTGTGTATGGGTGTTTTGCCTGCATATCTGTTCATCGGATGCATACAGTGCCCTCAGAAGCCAGAAAGGGGTCATTGGATCTCCTGGAATGAAGCTACGGATGGTTGTGTGTGGCCCTGTGGGTGCATGGGCTGGAACCCGAGTCCTCTCGAGAGCAGCCAGTGCTCTTTACTCTAGCTCTGTGTTATCCTCCTTGGCTATCTAAGAAAATGGAGATCCAAAGAGAGGGGGGGCCGATTCATCCAAGGCCAGAGCTAAGCCTGAAAGTGTCCTCTGCCTTCTGCCTTGTTCTGAAGAATCTCAGAGTCTCATCCCCTTCTTCCATGATAACAAACTGCAAAGTAGGTTTTCCCCAAGCTCTATCCAAATGGCTCCGTAGTTAAGGGAGGATACCAAGTGACAGATAAGTCACAGCTGCGTAGATAAGGAGAGACACAGTTGAAGACCAGAAAACCACTTCCAAACTATCAAGAGCCCAAAGGAAACAATGTGAGTCTAGAGATTACAACACCCACAGCAACAAAACAAGCCGCCAGTTGCCTAGGAGACATGCACCCGTTTGCATTCGATCATTCCTGTTCTGGGACATGATTATCTAGGCAAATATGGCAGCCGGACAATTCCTACGGCATCCTGAGTAGATAGGTGTGTTCTACCGGACTTGAAATTACTTAGGAGTTAGGGCTGAGAATGTGGCTCAATTGGTAAAGTATTTGCCTACTGTCTTATTTAGTTTTCTATTGCAGTGACGAAACACCATAACCAAAAGCAAGTTGTGTGTGGGGGGGAGGGTTCATATGTCTTACACTTCCGTATCACTGTTCATCATTGAAGAAAGTTGACACAGGACCTCAAAAAGGGCAGGAATCTGAGAGAAGGCTAGCCTGACTCCATGACAGGCTTCATTGGCAGTTCTGGAGGCTAGGCCTATATCTCTGTCTCCAAGAACTGGCCAATTCCAGGCCAAGTCCAGGTCTCAGAAGCTGCCCACCACCTGAGGCAAGCACAATGGGTCAGCAGCAGTTTCCAGACCTCCTCTGCTACGTTTTCAGTGACAGCTGGTAATGGAGGAATAGAAACGGAGTAAGATAGGGGTCACCTGTCCCGGAATGCCCTAACGTGCTCTCAGTCAGGCCTGCGAGCTCACTTGGTTGTCTGTCTATGATGGTAACGGGAGACCCCAGCACACGGGACTTCTGCAGAATAAAACACTCATTGCGTTTATATACTATTTGAGGGTGTCATTCTTCGGCGAATCACAGACCCTTACACTGGAGGCAGAGCTGATGCAGAGGCCATGGAGGGTGCTGCTTACTGGCTTGCTCACTGTGACGTGCTCAGACTGCTTCCTTTCTTTTAAAAAAAAATATTTTTTTTCTGTAAATTGTTTTGCCTGC